AACAATTGTGCATTGAGTCATTACTGAAGGATCAAATGGTAATTAAATTAGTCTTCTTTATGGCCTAGAGTCAAACTGCATTTTCTAGCACCTTGTAAAGTGAAGGTTAACAAGCTTCTCCCACTCTATAGTAACTAATTGGTGCCACTAGGCAGAAAAGTCCGTTAATAAAACAACCAACCTCAAAAATGAACATGAATTTAAACAGTAGATGAAAGAATACAAGGATATATTAATAAAATAAAAATATTTCAAGTAGTTATGTTGGTTTTATAAATCCAATGCCATTTCAATGAAAATCCCATTTATCATGAAATTTGAGTAGCTGATTCTGTTATGTATACAAAAGAGCAGAAGGCCAAAAGTAGCCAACATCATTCTGAGAAGAACCAAGGTGGCAGATAGAGATAAATTTGCCCTGTCAGATACCAAGATGTATTACAAAGGCAGAGTAACTAAGCCAGTGTGATATTGGCACAGGATCAAGAATCAGTCTCATCAGAACGGAACAGAGAGCTCAGGAAGAGCCCTGTGAGTATATGAAAGTTGACACATGACAGAAGCAGCAAGGCTGATCAGTGGAGGGAAAAATCCAATAAATGATACTGGAAAAGTTTGCTATCTATATGAGGAAGAAAAAACTGGATTCCTATTCATAATACCTGAAGATAAACTCTGGGCAGATTCAAGTCCTAATTGTAAAAGAAAAATCTTTAAAACTTTTATAAGAATATATAGGACAATATTCTATAACTTCAGGATAGGGAAAGATTTCTTAAGAAGACCCAAAGAGCATAAACCATTAAGAAAAAGAATAATACATTGGATTACATTAAGATTATGCATCAAAATCTATTAGACTTAGTAAAGGATTAATATCCAGAATATATAAAGAATTCCTACAAAATAATATAAAAAGATGAACTGAGTAGAAAAATGTGAAAGAATTTGAGTAGGTAATCCACAGAAGAGGAGGTCCCAATGAAAATATACTTGAAAACATGATCAGTCTCACTAAAAACCAAGAAATTGAAAAACTACAATAAAAATTCATTTCATACCCATAAAACAAAACTTTAGAAACCTGAAGAGCATGTAGGGAAAAGAAGTTATGAAACACTGGTGGTGGGGGGGGTGTGAATTAATACAACCCTTTGGGAGAACAATAGCTAGGAAGGTTGAAGGTACATGTACCCAGTGGCCTAACAATTGCTCTACTGGGTATATAACTTCAAGGCACAGAGAATCTCTAATACATGTGCACAGGGAGACCTATACAAAGCCATTTGTAAATAATATATTTTTAATAAAAGTATACCTAATAAAGGTATATGTAATGAAGTACATAATAACAGTATATACAATACATGTTATATATTATGTAATACTAGAGGCCTAATGCATGAAATTCGTGCAAGGGGCTCGGCCCTCGCAGCCCTGGCTTCGTCCGGAAAGTCATCCGGAAGAGTCGTTCTGCTGTTTGGTCTAATTAGCATATTAGCTCTTTATTATATAGGATAGTAAAATATGTATATAGATTGCAGATATGTGCTCATAAACCTAAATTCAGAATAGTGATTACCTCTGAGTGTGGGAGGGAATGAGATTGGGGAGGGGACCACCAGGAGCTTTAACTCTTTCTGTTACATTTCATTTCTTAGGCTGGTTGATGAGATCATGAATATTCATTACATTATTCTTTATGCATTTTATTAGGTCTGAAGATTATCATAATAAATATTTAACAACATTAAGATTTTTTAAAAAATAAGTGTATATATTTTGGGTGTTTTTTTTGTTTTTTAATAGAGAGAAGAATGGAGAGGGAGAAAGAGAGAGAGAAAGAGAAACATTGATATGAGAGAGAAACATTGATGGCTGCCTCCCGCAGGTACCTGAGGAGGCAGCGGGAGGGGGATGAAGCCCGAAACCTGGGCGTGTGCCCTGACAGGGAATTGAACCCGTGACCTCTCAGTGCATGGGACAAAGCTCAACCAACTGAGCCATACTGGCCAGGGCTAAAATAAACACTTTTAATAAATAAAAAGTAAGAATGGCTGGTAATTTCCAAGTAGCACTGTGCTTGCCAGCAAGAATAAAATAATTTTTTTAATCAAAGCAAATTCATTTTCAGTTAGTTTACATGATCATTATTCTTGGTCAAACTCCTGACACTCAAAGATAAGACAGATAAGAATCTTTCCTTTGCTAGTATATTTGATAGTTTACTTTTGTTATGCATGTTAAACATACTTTTTGTGTTTTAGTTGTTTCAAATGCTTTAAAAAACTTTGTTCAGATAATTATATGTGGTAAAACAATAGTGCAAAAAATCACTGATTTTAATAATTGTATCGTTTAATGTAAGATTCAGTAGTTAACTTACTAAGCTTTCCTTAAAGAAGCAATGTATAAAAAATGTATATGCTCAGGTTTGTCTTAATAGTGTTAGGAAAATAGTAAAGAAATATGTTAGCTAACACTGAATGCGTACTCTATGCCAAGTACCATTGATTGCTCACAACAACCCTGTTAGATAAGTACCATTCTCATTCCTATTGTACGGGTGAGAAAATTGAGGCACAGAGAGGGTAAGTTGCCTAAGGACATATAGCTAGTGAGACGCATAGGGGGTAGAACCCAGGAATCTGGCACCAGAATCTTGCTTTTAACACTTCCAGGACGATGAAGAGAAAGAATATATTTCATATTGTAGTATAAATAAAATAAAAGCTGTTTGAACAATCTCACTGACTCTTAAACACATGCAAAAGCTTTGTCTGCTGAACCGACTTTAGCATTGTCTGGTCCCTAGTCCTTGGGAGACCCAGAAATTTAATCGAAGAATAGCCTGACTCATAAAGGCAGCATCCCAAAGTTGGGCAGACACTGAAGCACAGTGGTTTCCACATTCTTTAACCAAGGGTCCAGGACGCTTACCCTGCAGACATGCGCTTGTGCGTCAGCTAGCTGCGGGGTTGCCACAGCCTTGCCCATTGCACTCATGCTCCACCCCGCATGCACAGGTGCCCTACCTGGTTGTGCAGCATGGACTCCAGCACGAGAGCAATGAAAAGGGTAGCGGTCGTACGCCAATTACCATGTTTCTCTTTTATTAGTGTAGATAGTAAAATATGTATATAGATTGCAGATATGTGCTCATAAACCTAAATTCAGAATAGTGATTACCTCTGAGTGTGGGAGGGAAATGGGATTGGGGAGGGGACAACCAGGAGCTTTAACTCTTTCTATTACATTTCATTTCTTAGGCTGGGTGATGAGATCATGAATATTCATTACATTATTCTTTATGCTTTATGCATTTTATTAGGTCTGAAGATTATCATAATAAATATTTAACAACATTAAGATTTTTAAAAAAATAAGTGTATATATTTTGGGTTTTTTTTTTTTTTTTAATAGAGAGAAGAATGGAGAGGGAGAAAAAGAGAGAGAAAGAGAAACATTGATATGAGAGAGAAACATTGATGGCTGCCTCCCGCAGGTACCGGAGGAGGCAGGGGGAGGGGGATGAAGCCCGAAACCTGGGCATGTGCCCTGACAGGGAATTGAACCCGTGACCTCTCAGTGCATGGGACAATGCTCAACCAACTGAGCCATACAGGCCAGGGCTAAAATAAACACTTTTAATAAATAAAAAGTAAGAATGGCTGGTAATTTCCAAGTAGCACTGTGCTTGCCAGCAAGAATAAAATAATTTTTTTAATCAAAGCAAATTCATTTTCAGTTAGTTTACATGATCATTATTCTTGGTCAAACTCCTGACACTCAAAGATAAGACAGATAAGAATCTTTCCTTTGCTAATATATTTGATAGTTTACTTTTGTTATGCACGTTAAATATACTTTTTGTGTTTTAGTTGTTTCAAATGCTTTAAAAAACTTTGTTCAGATAATTATATGTGGTAAAACAATAGTGCAAAAAATCACTGATTTTAATAATTGTATCGTTTAATGTAAGATTCAGTAGTTAACTTACTAAGCTTTCCCTAAAAAATGTATATGCTCAGGTTTGTCTTAATAGTGTTAGGAAAAGAGTAAAGAAATATGTTAGCTAACACTGAATGCGTACTCTATGCCAAGTACCATTGATTGCTCACAACAACCCTGTTAGATAAGTACCATTCTCATTCCTATTGTACGGGTGAGAAAATTGAGGCACAGAGAGGGTAAGTTGCCTAAGGACATATAGCTAGTGAGACGCATAGGGGGTAGAACCCAGGAATCTGGCACCAGAATCTTGCTTTTAACACTTCCAGGATGATGAAGAGAAAGAATATATTTCATATTGTAGTATAAATAAAATAAAAGCTGTTTGAACAATCTCACTGACTCTTAAACACATGCAAAAGCTTTGTCTGCTGAACCGACTTTAGCATTGTCTGGTCCCTAGTCCTTGGGAGACCCAGAAATTTAATCGAAGAATAGCCTGACTCATAAAGGCAGCATCCCAAAGTTGGGCAGACACTGAAGCACAGTGGTTTCCACATTCTTTAACCAAGGGTCCAGGACGCTTACCCTGCAGACATGCGCTTGTGCGTCAGCTAGCTGCGGGGTTGCCACAGCCTTGCCCATTGCACTCACGCTCCACCCCGCATGCACAGGTGCCCTACCTGGTTGTGCAGCATGGACTCCAGCACGAGAGCCCACAGGTCCACAAAGGTTGTGGGGCGCCCCTCCTCCATTCGCAGCTCCAGCTCCTGGAAGTAGTTTGCCAGTCGCTCCGAAGAGAAGGCTTCCAGCTTGCTCTGGGCCAGGTGTTCCCGGGCATACCGGATGGGCCCCTCGAGGTCCTTCTGTGACCACTCAGGGTCCCCATATAGTTGGGCCATTGTCCTGGGAGAACAAAGGGACAGTACAATAGGATGATGAGGCCCGGCACCAGTTGCTGCAACTCCCTCTTCCAACCCTCCAGATTTCTCCCAACATTTTGTTCCTGCCACCAAAGCTCTGCCTTTCTGGAAAATGCTTCAGGGCTTTCCCTCCTCCTAGATCAGGGCTGTTCAATATAAATATAATGTGAGCCACGTATGTAATTAAAAATTCCTAGTAACTACACTTTTAAAAAGACCGGTAAAAATTAATTTTAATAACATATTTCATTTAAATTATCGTTTTCAATATGTAATTAATATAAAAAATTTAAGATAAATTTATATTTTTCCAAACTTAGTCTTCAAAATTCACTGTGTATGTTATAGTTATAACAACTCAAGTTGGACTAAGCACATTATAAGTGGTCAATAACCGCACGTGGCTACAGCTACTGTAACATACAGCACAGCTCCAGACCCTATCTCCATCTTCAGAGGTCTGGCCTAAAGCCTTTTGAGACTGCCTGTCAACGGCTGTCACCTAAACTCTCTGAGGTGAATATCCTCTTTCACTTCTTTAAAGTCACATTTCAATAAGATTCAAAGGAATGCATCTCTAACAGTGAAAAGTTCCATTTCATTATAGGCAGGCTGGTGTGTAGGGAGACAATTTTGTCTTTAGGTAAAATAGCACCTCTTGACCTCAATTTCCTCATCTATACTATAGGGACAATCAGAGAACCACCCTAGAGGGTGTTTTGAATATTAAATGAGGTAATAGCAATTAAAGAAAAAAGAGCTATCAATTTGGAGTTCACGAAACGCGTCAGACGTGTTAAGGCTGTCCCACTCTAATCCTATGGAGGGTGTGCTATTATTACCCCTATTTTGGAGATGAGTCAACGAGAATCAGAGGAAATAAGTTGGTTAAGATTACCCAGCCAGTAAGTGGTGTTGTGGAGACTCAAACCCAGCTCCTTCTGAATCAGCTGCCTTAGACCTCTTCAGAAGCATGGAGTGGAAACCCTGTAATGCCTCCCTCATGGCAGGACTGCTGTAATTTCTGTTTCCTCCCTTTTGAGACAGCCACTTGGCACCCATCAGACCATACTGCTCACAACTACTTGGTTTCCCCAGATAGAGGGTCCCTCTGGTGTCCACTCCACTCCCCTCTGGGGCCTGGTCATCTCTGATTCTCCAGTCCCCGGGGCCCTCACCATGTAGCTCCCGAGATGCCGCTGAAGTACGTCACACAGTCCAGCAGTCCCAGCTTTTTCAGAGCCAACAAGTGGCCATAGAGAGAGGTCATGGCCCGGACACCTCCTCCTGTGGCCATGATCCCCACGATGGGGACCTGGACCACACAAAGACACAGGCTGGCTTAACAAAGACAGGGATAGAGCTGCCTCCTGCCTCCAGAGAAGGGGCCTGATCAGGACGGGGTCAGGGCCTGGTGCAGTCAGAATTAGAGCTGTCACCCAGCCCCTCCCCAAGAAGTGACTGCTCTCAGCCCTGGACACAGCTCCAACGGGAGTGAGAACCCCAGAGCTCACCCATGCTCCATATCTCCTCCCACATGCTCACTCTCCAGTCTCTGCTGACTGGAGTGTCTGGAGCGGGCATAGGAATCAGGTACGCCCCTAAGGCCGGTCCAAGGTATCTGCACCCCACCCCTATGTATCCCCCAAACCTCATCTTCCTGTAGGTCTCTGTCCAACTGCAAGGCCTTCTTCAGGGCCTTGGCCACCACCTGCTTCCTTCTGCTCAGGAAAGTTTTCTCCTCCACACATAGGTCGAAGCCCAAGCGCACGGCCAGCTCCTTAGGGCTGGGGCAGCAGAGGGTCCAAGGGTCAGGGGGCACCTGCAGAGCTCAGCCACTGGTTGGCCAAGCCCACAATAGCTGCCAAATAACATCCCTGCTCCAAACCCCAAGGACCAGGCTTTCCACAGCACTCCCCTGCCCCATGACCATCCCTTACTGTCCCCAACAGATATCAATGTCCCTTACCAGCCCTCAGCCTTGAGCTGTAGCCTCACTCCTGGGGCCTGAAATCAAAGCAAGAGACTTTGCTCAGAATGTCCAAGACCCTGCAGGGAATGTGAGTATCCACTGGGGGCCGTGGGCTCCCCCATCTTTATTCCCACTGGCACTTCCCATCCAGTTGAGGCCACTTACATTTGTAGCTGGAACATCAATGATCATCTCCTTCCCCATAGTCAAGGACTTCAGAGGCATAGTGAGGTGCCCTGCTGAGACGTCTGAGTTCCAGTCTTTGCTTTTGGAGCTCTGGAGGGAAATATTCATTCATTCATTCACTCAACAAACCCTTACCGAGTGGCTAAACAGTGATCCAGACAGACACAGTCCTTCCCTGGTAATATTAAAATAATTACAATATTTATAATTATTAAAATTATCTATATATATAAAAGCCTAAGAGACCATTACAACTGAAGGACCAGAACGACCAGAATGACCGGTTGACCAGTTGCTATGATGCACACTGATCACCAGGGGGCAGATGCTCAATGCAGGAGCTGCCCCCTGGTGGTCAGTGCGCTCCCACAACCAACCTCCCATGGCCTCTTCCCCCCCTACCCC